AGCCCAGAAGTCGGGAGCAGGCACCCCGGAAGTCAGGCCGCTCAGCAGCCCGGAAGTCAGGGGAGCAGGCACCCCGGAAGTCAGGCCAGCAGCCCGGAAGTCCTGCCACATCCTGGAAGACACGCCGGTGCTGGGCGGACTCGGCTCGCGCTGGGTTCGGTCCAGGTCCTGGCGCTGCCCAACAGGCACCGCGCTTGCTGAGCGCCAGGGTGCCCCTTCTCGCGCGGCAGGCCTTCTAGCGGCCACACAGCAGCACACTGCCCGTCCCTTACCAGCAGCCTGGTGTCCTTGATGACACAGAGCAGCTTGGTCCACTGGCCGAAGCGCTTCTTGCGCAGCAGGAAGGCGCAGATCTTGGCGTCCTTCACGAGGTCCATGGAGGCCTCCTCCGAGGGCCACTGGTGCCGGGCCTTCTTCCCCTTCCCATCCTCCTCCTCCTCGTCGTACGACTCGTAGGAGCTGCTCATGGCGTCTGAGTCATAATCTGCGAAGAGACGGGCAGGCAGGGTAGGAGGGCCTGAGCTTGGGGCTCACCTGCGGGCTGGGGGCTCATGGTGACACTTCTGTCTCCATGGGATTCCCTGTGAAGCAGCACCCGTCCCTCTCAAAGGCGTGGACCACAGAAACACAACCATCTCTAGACAGCTGTGTGTGTGTGCAGGACACTGGCGGGACCCAGCCTGGACACTCGCCAGGCCTGTAGCGAGCACTTGCACCCGTTGCCTGTGTGGCCCTTTGCTGTCCTGTGCCCACACTTCGGTGCTGAGGCCTCCCAGCCGCAGCCCGCCCATCCCAGCACTGGAGAATCGGGGCCAACTGGGCCAGCTCTCTGCTCCCCCAATCCCAGAAGTGCACTCCACTTTGCACACACTGCTCAGTTCCCCAAGCATGTGCCACACCCTCCATCTCCTCGGGCCTCTGCTAAGGCCCCGCTCCCTCCTGCCTTGCCTGGGCAAGTGCACCCATCTCTGGGCACCTCAGTACAGGATGCCTCCTCCACCCAGTCCTCTCTGCATACCGCATACTGAGGCCATCGACAGGATGGGGCCACCCTAGCACTCAGCTATGCAAGCTGTAGTTTTACTGTGACTCTGGAGAGGGGGCTTCCCGGTGGTAACTCTGGCTGAAGATGGTCACAAGTGTAGTAGGGTGCTAACCCGATGGGACCTGCGACCTTTGGAGAGGGGCGTGGCTTACTGTGCCATGTGGAGACGCCGCGACATAGCAGCACCCACAAGGCAGGCAGAGGCCTGCACAGAGCCGGGCCATGCTGCCACCACCCCATCTGGGACTCTGGCCTGCAGAGCCTCAAAGCGGGCACTGTCATAGCATGCGGAGCACAAGAACGCCTGGCCCAATGCCCACTTCTGTGTCCCCCAGGGCCTAACTTCGGCCCACCCCTCATGCTGTAGATGCCACGGCGACCCCTACACCCCAGAGGAGGGAGACCGTCTGCTGGGTGTGACAGCAGAGTTCCTGGAGGGGACATGAACAGCAGGAAGCCCTGTCTCCGGAGCCAAGCGGTGTGTGCTGGCGTGTTTTTGGGGTGCTCTCAGGGCATCACCATGGCATCAGCACCTGCAGCTGCTCAGGAGCCGGCTGCCTCCAGCATCTGACCCCCCCAACTTCCCCTTGGGGGTGCAGCTGGCAGGGGGCATGCAGGGCAAAGGTCGACTTCACCTCTGATCACCGCCCAGGCAAGTGCTTGCCTTTGCACCAGAACTTCCCAGCACAGAACCCACACAGGGAGCTGCGAGCAGACGCACAACTTGAGCAGATCCTGGGAGCAGAAAGGACTCAAGGAGGATTCTGGCAAGAGCCGAGGAGCCTGCTGGACGACCCTGAGGGGCCCTGATGGCAGGGGTGTGGCAGGCATGTGCAGCGGCCCCCGAGGGAGGTGCTGGGCAGCCGGCGGGGGCCCCTCCATCTCTGCTTCTGGGTCCCCACAAGCTAAGCTGTTTTCTGGAACACCCAGCTCTAGGGAGATTTCACAAGTGGAGGCAAGAGTGAGGACAGACCCATGTGCAGGGAGGGCTGCCCCTCCCCAGCAGCAGGCGGTGCTCCCTGGTGCTGGTGTCAGTGGGCCAGGTGCGGGGACAGAGCCGGGAGCACAGCCTGCATGGCGCCTGCAGAGGCCCTCAGGAGCAGTCAGCCACCGAGCTGGTGCAAGCATGTCTCGCTCAGGGCAGACAGATTGAGGCCCAAAGACAAGTAAGTCCGCCAAGACCACAACCCAATGAACCAGGGCAAAGACAGAAGCCAGGGCGCTGGATTTTACATTGGCAGAGCAAAGAATGTCCCCGGCAGCTCCTTCTCATCCTGACTACTGGGACAAGGCCCACTCTACGGAGACAGAGAGCTCGCCGTCCTGCCTCCCTGACAGCAGGACTATGCTGCTTCCAGGAAGCTTCAGCCAACTTGCAGGGAACAAGAGCAGCCCAGAGTGAAGGGGCTGCAGAGAAAGTCACCTCCGACATCGCCTTCAGCAGTTGCCCATAAAGGGAACAGAAGCCTCATGCTGGTTGGCTCAGCACAGCAATGGGGTCTCGGACCCAGTGGGGCTGCGATGCCAGAGAGTCGCCTGTCTAGGGGCTGGGGCTTGGCACATTAGGAGGAAAGGAAGATGCAGGAGGTGAGGAGGGAGGAACGTCCAGCTTCCTGATGCTGCCATGAGTGGTGTGGGGTGCAGCCGGCAGGGGGGCATGCAGGGCAAAGGCCGAGAGGTGCTGGGGGGTGCCATCAGGCGGGCTCCACTTCACACAGGATGCTCCGATACATGGTTATTTTTAACTATAAAGTATTACCGTTTTTTTAAAGAGCATAAATGCAAAGGCACACAGCGCACCCCTGGCAGATCGGGGGCAGCCCCAGATCGGGGGCAGGAAGGGGCCTTCTCATGCACATACAATGGGTCTCCCCTCCGCACACCCTCAGAGCCCCACAAGCTCCCAGCAGAGGGTCGTGCCCTGAGGCATGGCCTCTTCTCCATGCCTGTCTCCCGTAGGGGCAGGGAGACCCCGGGACGCCCACCTCCGTCACTCGCTGGCTCTGATCAGGTAGAGCCTGAGTGCCTCTGGGCTGCTCTGGTGTCCGACCTGGATGTTTCCGAGAAGGACTGGCTGGGCAGAGGAGTCAAGGGCTCAGGCAGGAGCATCCCCTCCAGGGTCCTGGGGTGGAAGCCTGGCCTGGGCTGCAACCCTTAGGCAAGGCCTGCTGGGAGGTCCCTGGGTCACGGGGGTGTGCCTTTGAGGGGACTGTGGGACCCCAGCCTCTTCCTGCCTCTCTCGGCTTCTCAGCCTAAGGGGAGAGATTTGGGTCTACCACACACCACTCTTCCCTTGCCACAGGCCCAGGGCGCAGAGCCGCTCAGTGCTGGCCTTCAACGCCAGGGTGTCAGCCAAAACAAACCTTCCCTCTATGAAAGCTGACTGTTCAGCTTTCCCCATACAGTAACAGGAAGCTGACTAACACACAGCTTTCCCTGCTCTTGCATTTCAAGAGTTCTGAGCACCAAAAATGGGCACAGATTAGGTGTTCCACAAAAAAAAAAAAAAAAAAAAGAAAGAAAACGAAAGTTCAGCACAGGCTAATCAGCAGAACAAAGCTAAAGGGCCATGGAAGCTGCCAGCCCTTAATTCAGGTATTTCCTCAGCACTGAGGTGCCAGACCCAGAACATGAAAATGGTCACCTTCTTTGTTCTTACGCCCCCGTGGGAGATGGATCCTACGGGGAGGGAGTATGTTCAAGCGAGGCACATTAGGAACCACAGCTAAATTCTGGAGATACTCCTTCGGGTTTCTATGGGAAAGTGGAGGCCTCACTTCCGGGCGGGCTGGAAGGCTGACTCATGTTCGGAAGCAGCCAGGCCAGCCGGGCTCAGCCTATTCTCGAGCGCGGTCACATGCGACGGGAGCCTCGGAGTCTTTACCACACCCACCTGGTCCTCCTTGGTGCTACTGCGAAGACCACGTGAAGGACATGGGAGAGCTCTGTGGCCCTGAAAGTGGGGAAGTGGCTGACACACACCTGTGCTGCCAGTCACCAGCAGGGCCACAGCAGCCAGGCATTGTGCCAAACATGTTCCATGCTGTGAGCGGCACACAACATCTGCCTGCACCAAGAAGGTGAGAGCGGCAGGAGGACAAGGGGGAGGGCGATGCCAACTGAAGAAAAGACCTAGATCTGATGCCCAAATACCAACACGAGCTGCGGTGTGTTCGCACTGTGTGGACCGAGTGAGGCGGGCCTCCTGCTTCCGTTTCCTTGGAGTCTGGCTAGGGTTGGCCCCAAGAGAATCCTGCGAGGAATCGGGGAGGAGCCAGCAGGCGCCACACTCGGAGTCAGTGTCAGCCAGGGCCCAGGCACGATTCCCAGCCACAGCCAAGCCTGCTCTCCTCCTTGGCATCTGGGGTTCTAGGAGAGGTGCACCCCTAACGCCAGCGCCTGCTGCTGGTCACCTGCACCAGAGTCCAGAGGAGGTTAGACAGGTAGACTGGGGGTTGTCTGCAGGATTTCCGTCTGCCCTTGATCTCCCCAAGTCAAGCCAGCCTCTTGTCCACACCCTACCTAAAGAACAGGCAGCAGCTGCCCCCGGTGTCCACAGCTCCTGTGGCTGTGAGCACCTAATCCCAAGGCTGTGCTCCTTCCTTGTCATGGAAATTCCACTCCTCCAATCAGACCCCAGCTACTCCTGCCGTGAGGATGGCTGCCTCTGGCAGGGAGCGCAGGTGACGCTCCGCAGACCCAGGGGATTTTTAAGCACAGCTATGTCATCCTTTGAAGGTCACTATTTCACTTTTGGAAACTGCTCTTGGCTGCCAAACCTTGAGCAGGTGGAAGGCTTCGGCCCCAGACACCCGTCAGGATGCGGCCCGAGCTGCCTGCCTGAGCTGCGGCCATCTGAGGCACAGAGGCGCATGCTGTCACCGACCAGAGCAGCTGGGCGTCAGGCACTCCCTCAGCAACCAGAGCGGTTGCTCTGGCTGTCTTGACGTCCCCTCAGTGCCTCATGCGGTCTTAGGTGCAGCTTTTCCGGAGGCAGCTACATCTGGAGTGTGCCATGCTGGGATTAAGAGTGTGCGATTACTGAACCAGCCCACTGATTGGTTAGGCCCTGCCCTAATCCTAGCAGTCTAGACAGAATACACAGAGGGGCAGAAGCTGCTGTGAAGGTCGCTCGCGGTTTTCTTCCTCGCTGTGCTGCCTTCTGCCCGCCGGGAACCACTTCTCTGCAGTGCCCCTCTGCCAGGCCACCCTGCCTCGGAGCTAGCCAAGAGTGGACTGAAACCTCTGCACAACATGAGCTGAATCAACCTTTCATCCTTTAACCTCGTCTCAGCAACAGGAAAAGTGACAACGACAGAGGCCTGCAGGGAGCTCCATCCCCGCTCAGAGTGTCTACAGGGGCACTCTGTCATCGACGGAAGTGGGTGAGTGTGGTCTACGTGACAGCAGGTGCCACTGGATCCCAAAGATGTGAGAAGTGGCAAAACAACCAGCTTCTCGCTGTCCCTGGCCCCTGTCCCTGTCATACGGCAGTCTCCTGAGAGCTCTGATTCACCAGCACTGCTTCGCGGCTGTCTGCCCAGGACTTGAGAGAAGCCTGATAGGAAACTGGCACCCCATGGCCCAGGCACAGAACCCCACAAGGGCAAGTGTGGTGTCCGGACCAGTGCCCACCAAAGCCGCCTCAGCAGACCAGCACCGTGACCCACACGTGTCGGCCACCTCCCAGACTCCTGGCCCAGGGGCTCACATACAAGGGGCTGTGGGTGCAATGAGGGAGGGGGCGTGGGACTTGGGAGTGTGGCTTTCCACTCAGGAAGACTGGTCCTAAGCCCTCAAACAGCAGAGGCCAGTGCCGACCCCCACCACGTGACACTGTCCCTATCAGCTGCCCCCAAGAAGAGTTGTCACCACTGGCCACTACCTGCAGGGAGGGACAATGACAGTGAATTTCCTTCGCTCCTTCGCATGCAGCCTTGCCCAAGCAAGGGCCTCACAGGCCTCACATGAAGCGCGGCAGCCCCCCAAGCCCCGCCCCAGCCTGAAGAAGCCTGCTTGACAGGCCGGAGGATCGAGGTCTGAACCTCAGTGATAGTGACAGCCCTCGTAACGCCTTGGGGGGCTAGCAGGTCTCCAGTGTCCTCAGCCGTGTGTGCCCTGCCCCCATGGCCTGCACTCGCCAGGCCCAAGGACAGGGCTGCCATACATAGTGGCTCCTGGTGACCCCCACCCAACACTGGGACCTCCCATCTCAGGGTTCTGGATGCACCAGCCCTGTGGTTCCACCGAGCAGGAAGCAAACTGTCCCCGGCCATGCCAGGCTCCTCGGGCCTGGAAAGCCTTGGGAAGAGAAGGTGTCATGGTGACCAGGAGGTGAAGGGGCTGATCCTGACGGGGGAAGCTGTACCACTCCGGGCCAGAGGAGTGTACCAGGACCCCGCCCCCACCCCAGCCTGTGATTAAAGCTGAGGCGCTTCAGCTTCCAGTACGGGAAGTAAGTCCTGAGGGGCTGGCCTTCGGACCATCACCGGAGGACAAGCCGTGGCTGAGCAAGGAGGCTGTGGTGGTGGCAAAGGGAACACAACTGGTGCTAAAGGGAATCGGCTGAGGCCATTGATTGCTGAACAGAGGGGACTGAGCCCGTGACTGTCCCTTCCTTGCTCGCACACGTTCATGAGCAGGCTGACACTTCCCTTCGCCCTGTGCCCAGCCTCCTCCACCTGCAGGAGCAGGGCCCCGGGTGGCTAACCTCGCGTCTTGGGGTCTAAGTCACAGGCTCTCCAAGGGGACACTGCGTCCTGCTGGAGGAGAATGAGTGTCACTAGGATTGGAAGAAGGGACCACGTCCTCTCTGTCACAGGCACAGGTGGCTGCCAGGCCCCTGCTGCCACGTGGGCTGGTGCCTGCAGCTACAAGAACAACTCCCAGCCCCTCCTGCAGGCCCACAAGGCATGAGTGTAGACACACAGGTGCCAGCCTGTCCATCCTCATCCCCAGGCCGCTTCCCCAAGGCCGCCCTCCTCAGGGAGAGAATAACAGCCTTCTTCTGAGGAGAGTGGCCAGCTCCAGCCCCATGTCCCCTGGGTCTCTTTCAAAGCCAGAACTGAGTCGGGGTTCGAGGACCAGCTCTGAACTCCTGGCTGCCTGGAGAAGGTGGCAGGTTAGGCCTGGCTTGGCTCTTCAAGGCTGGGAAGGCTGTACCCATCAAACCAGGCAGCGCCTGGGCTCGCAGGGCAGCAGCTGAGAGGTTCAGCCACACACCTGCCACCAGGGGCTCCCGGCAGGAAGACGCAAGGTCCCCAAGCCAAGCAGGATCACCTTGGGCTGTGGCCCTGAGAGCTCATCAGGAGGGGAGAGGGCAGCGCCAGGCCCTGCGCTGCTGTGTCCTCGTCGGCTCTGGCCAGGGGCCCACAGTGGCTGTGGCAGTACATGGCCTGACCTCTGCCAAAGGGTTCCAAGTGGAAGAGAAAATGAGACACTCCCCTGCAGATCTCAACTCCTGAACCTCACCCTGCCTCTGAATCGGAGGTGTGCCCTGCTCAGCAGGGCCACAGGGTTGACTGACAGGGCGCAGCCTGGCAAGGTGACCCAAGGCCAGCGGGTAGGAACGTGCTCGGCCTGGGGCTGCCCACTCCTGCCCAGCCCCAGAAAAGGACCCCTGGGGAATGCTGCCTTGACAGTCGCCCTCCAGCACTGAGACAGAGTCTGCTGTGAGGGGCAGCTGGGCCATGCGCTGTGCAGCCAAGACCGGAAAGCACCGCCTCTCCACGAAGCAGAGACTTGGGGTGACTCGTGTGGACCCCAGGGGGGAGGGGGCCTCTGCAGTGCAGCACGGGCAAGAGCTGGCGTGAGGCGGCAGCCCAGGGACACGCCTGGAGGGCAGCCCTCACTTCCCTCGCAGGCAGCAAGTGGGCTCCCTTGGCTGACACCAACACCGGTGCAAGTTCTCTCTGCGACAGGGCGCCTGCCCAGCAGGAGACTGTGAGGCCACTCAAAGTGAGTTGGACACGACTGTCCGGCTCTGCCTCGGCTGGGCGTCTGTACCTAAGCCAGCGCTACCACAAGCGCCACACGGTTATCAGCGAGAAAGCTAGGACTCCGGCACAAGCTTTCCAGCAGAATCTTTCTCCCCCCAAAAAGAGACAAACCGAAGCCTGCAGCTGAGAGGCTCCTTCTACGCATGCAGTCACTCCTGCTGGGCTAGCAGCCTGGCACAGGCGTGGGAGGGATCGGGCTGGCCGAAGGCTACGGGGCTGGGGTGGGGCCGGTACCCCTAAGCAGGAGCCACCAGTCTGCTGCCCAAAGGGTACACTTCATCGGGTGAATTTCCACGGCATAAGATCTGCTGGTGTGGGCACCGGGCTGCACCCCCGCCTCTTCGCACCCTCGCTGAACCGCTGCCGCCCTGGAGGCCAGGGGCACCCTGCCCCCATGACTGTGCTGGTGCGCAGGGCCCAGCCTGCCCCATCCATGCCCGCGGGCCTGACACTCACTGGATGTGATGTATTCCGGGGCCTTTCCGGGGCTCAGCGGCACGGCTTCTTCATAGTAGCCTTCCGGGAGGGCGGACGTTGGCAGCGGCGGAGGCCCGCTGTCAGGAGGCTGAGGGAGAAGGACATGGCAGAGATCAGCGCAGAGCTGCCTTCCCGAGGCAGCAGAAGGCTCCTGCTCATCCCTGCAGGCCTCCCCAGAACGCTTCGGGCTCTAAGGCCGCTCAGCCACGGCAGTCACTGTCATGGTAAGGCCCGGATCCCAAACCTGCACCGATGGCGAGTGGGAGGCCGGCCCGAATCCCATCCTCGAGGAGCCACTCCTGACTGGACGCCGCTCTCTGGAGAGCACTTGCTCCTCTCCCTGCCCTCTACCCACAGTATCCGCTTCTCCCTCTGAATACCCACAGCGCCTGCTGGTTCTCCCCAGTTCCCTCTGCTAAGAGAAGAGGCCCCCAAGGCCACACTCTCCAGACCCTGGTCCTGCCAGGCGCAGTGTGCTGGTCACAGGTGACGTCGGCCCCTCGGGATGGCCCTCTGCAAGGGGAGTCCTGTGACACCATGCTGTGCAGAGGCATATACTGGGGCCCAGGCCCTAACTCATCCTGTGTAAAACCAGACTCTCAGGGATGACAGGACAGGGCTGGCAGGCCCCTGTTGGCTGAAGACCCTTGCTAGGTTCAGACTCTCCCGGGAGGGCAACATCCCACGCACCACTGTTCTGTGACCACACGGGAAGAAGGATGTTACAGAGAGCAGAACACAGCAAGGCCCAAATTAAAGACCTACCAAGTTAAGCATCCAAGTAGGACACTGTTCCAATGAAACTGTGGGGGTTTTGCTGTTTTTTATTTTTATGTAATCTCTAGAATGTGCGATTCCATCACTTTCCAAGGAGTCCTGGGTGGATGACTAACGGCCCAGACAATCCAGCCTGCTCCTCCCCCTGCCAGCTGGAGGGGGAGGGAGGGAGAGGAAGGTGGGGGAAAGTGGAGAAGGAGAAGATAGAGGGGAGGGGGAGGAAGCGGTGGAGAGGAGAGGGAAGGAAAGAGGAGAAACGGGGAGGAAGGGGTGAGGAGGAGGACATGGAAAAGAGGTGGTGGAGGAGGAGGAGAAGGAGGTAGACGAGGCAGAGGGGAGGAGGGGGAGGCAGAAGTGGGGAATGAGGAGGGGTGAAGGAAGGGAGGAGGAGGAGGAGTGCTGCACCCAGACCTCTGTCCACCTCGCTGCTCAGACACCCACAGCCCTCTCCTCAGCCCTGCCCCGCCCTGGACAAACAGACCCTATTCCCTGGTGCTCCCACCCAGAGGTGGTTCTCCGGGGTGGGCCACTGCCACCCGGCCATCTCACGCCCGGCTACTCTCCTAAAGAGCCTGATAAAAAATGGAGCCCAATATGCCTCACTCTGCCAAGCCGGGCCTGGTTAGGGGCCACACGGGTTAAAATCCTGCTTGCTGCTTTTGGAAGGAAGGGTCTGACTTGGGAATCTGCTGTCTGTGAGGAGCAGGTGTTCTGGCTTCCTCTGCTGATGTGACCGGATTATTCTCATCCTGGGGCAGCATCAGGGAGGTTGATGAGTACCTGCCAGTTACAGCCCGGGCAGACACCTTCCCTGAGAACTTGGAGAAGGTGGGGGTGACTTCTAATCAAGGGACCCCGGAACATGACCTGTCTAACCCTCAGGGCCACACATTTGGAACAACCTGCTGAGACTCAGGCTCTGGGACCCCACACTACTTCCCCTGGGATACTCGACCACAAGGGTCCGCTGTTCACAGGAGGAAACGCTGCCCAGGGAGGTTCCCAGAGGCTCCTGTGCTGCTGCCTCCCAGGTAGGTGCAGACGGCGCAGCGCAATCTCCCTTCTGCCATCTCCAAAGCCAGCGCTGAGTGAAACCCTCAGCTCTCCAGTCCCCGTCCGCAAAGCTTGTGCAGCGGCTAAGGGTGCTCATGGAAAGCGTAGCAACAGCTGCCTCTTCCTTGCGCATGGTGCCTGCAAGGCACTTTCACATGATTTTAAAATATCAAAACTATTTTGACTTTAATACCGCTCAAAGAGGACTTCTACAGGAGTACCCTCTACCTCCCAAAAGGGTCAGGACTCCACACCCAAGCTCCAGGGTCCCTGGGGGCCTGCACAGAGCAGCTTCTGACACCGTGGGTGGCTAGGGTCAGGCCAGGGGAGGTGCAGAAAAGCTCTGACTTCCAGGTCCTTGCCAGTGGGTGCCAGGTCGCTGAGATCACAAACCTGTGGGGCTGACCTCGCTGCTCTGAAGGGGTCCCTGCAGGATGTGTGCTGGCTGCTGCCACTGTTGCTATTTTTCAACAACATCACAATGGTAACCGCTGCTCACCGTGTGCCTGCTGTGGGCCAGACATATCCTGGGACATTTTAGGGTTTTTCTCTCGGTCACCCAATGACACTGAGATGTCAGTGCTTCTGCTGTGTCCCCACAATCGGGAAACTGAGGCCCAAGGCCTCGAAGGACTGACACCACAGGTGCTGGGCAGACAGTGCTGGGGAACCTCCTGCTGCTGATGGGTTTCTAGAAAGTCCTGGCCAGGCGCCGTGCGTCGTCTTCGCCCTGCGGAGCTGGGACTCCTGCGTCTAGGCCCAGTGTTGTTCTTGTTCTGAGAACACCCCATATAGACAGGGACTACGCTGCTGTGCCCCTTGGCCTGGAGCTGGTGGTGTATTCTACACATTACGTGACTCAAGAGACACAAGAAGCCTAAAAGGAGTCACTGCCAAAGCTCGCAGGTCAGTTAACAGGAAGAATGTGGAGATAGCGAATGACCTCAGAAAGCCTTGGAGGCACCGACAGAAGACAAGATCGCTCTACTTCTTAAAGCATCCAGGACACAATAACTAGGACACAGGTGGCATTCACTTCAACACCTGTCACCAGACGGGTGCCAGCCAGCTGCCACAGTGGCCCCAAAGCGTGGGAGATGACAAGCAGCTGGGGCAAACTGGACAACAGGAAGTCCGCACCGGCCAAGTCCATGTCTCTGTCTGCAGAGCACTGTGCCCCATGGCGACCACCCAAACCCGAGGCCCAGCGCCCCGAGGTCTTTTCATGACTCTGGCCCAGGGGCCCAGTGGCCCTCGCCTGACTTTATGAGGTGCAGCTTCTTATTCCACCTCACCCACAGTGCTCTAGGTCTGCCGAGAGGGCAAAGACCACAGTCTGGGCCTGTCACCGAGTCAGGCCTGGCTTGCGTGACGGTTCATGACCCCAATTACCTGTTCTCTAAAACCTGCTCAGAACAATGAGGGGGAGCTGTGTCAGCAAACACTTGGCTGACCCACTGGGGTGAAGACACCCCCGGCCCCTCTGCACAGTGCCCTGACCAGCGTCCACAAAACACTGACCATCCATGGCTGACAGGCTCCACTCCAAAGCACCCACCGAACGCCCTGCCACGTGAAGCACATGACTGGAGTCGGCTTTACTCTCAAAACTCGCACTCCCATTACTGACTACGGCACAAATAAACCAAAGGGAAAGTGGGCGCCCAGGGGAGCTACGGCTTCCCCGAAATGCCAAGGAAGCCTCAGTTGAGACAGCTGGAAAGACAAGGACAGCCCAATTTGGGGTGAGCGTGTCAGCTAGGAGTGGAATTCTGGAGCTCCAGGTGCCATCCCTGGGCGCCCGTTCTCTCAGCCTCCCCAGCTCGCACAGCACCTGCCTGCTTGTACTTCCTGGGCTGGCTTTTCGTTTTCATTTTCATTTTTATCAGGCCGTAGGACCCAAATCCAGTGCAGAGGAACAGAATGCGCAGCACTGAACAGTGGCACTAAGCAAGGCCTCGGGCATCCCGGGGGCTCTGGTCTGGCGACCTCTGAAAGTGACAGAAAATAGGCCGGGCCTGTGCTCTGTGCTGGGAGACCGCCAAGCCCCGGGCTCCCGCCTGGCTACCTATGACCATGGGCACTGCTGGACGCTGGGCCCCACACCAGGGCTCCAGGGAGACAGGCAAATACGGCCCATCTGCCTGCCCCGGCTCGTGTTGGACGAGCTATGTCACAGGAAGATACAGAGCAGGGCTGGTCACCAAGCTCGCCCCAGTCTGGAGCGAGGCCAGCTTCCCCACATGAGCAGACAGGAAGAACTACATGTGAACATCTTCAGGCGGGGAAAGGGAAACCCCAAACAAATGCCACAGACATAAACTACACATCCCAGAAGAAGGCACAGTCTTCTATCTCAATGCAAGAATGCTTGGTCAGCAGGCACTCTGCCCGTGACTGCCCAAGTTTCAGACTGATGACTTCAGAGTTAAAACTTAGCAGCTCCTGCCCTCAGGGCCTATTTGGCTAGCCAGATCCCCCAGAATTTTAGTTTATTTTTTGTTTTCATTTTTTTTTCTTAACCTGCTGTAAGAACCCCCTTCTAAGGACCTGTAGCTCCATTGCTTTGCAAGGAAAGATCTGCTTCCTGCAGGGAAACTGTGCTCAGAGGACCCCGGCCGTGGTCACCGGCGGTCTCCAGGCCCGAGGACTTAGCAGGAGCCCTAGGGCCCCCGAGGCCTTAGCTCCCCAAAGCTGGTGTCTGTCATACCCCAGGTTGCCACGCCCAGGGGGTGGGTCAGTCCACTCACCAGCCAGGGCTGAGGTATCTCTGGCAGGGGCATTTGAGGTGGTGCTGGCAGGCTGTTGGTCTCTGGTCTCTGAGCATGGTCCTTCACGTCAAAGCCTGCAAAGGGTAACCACAACCAAAGTGCCAGGTAAGGAGCAGAGAAGACCACCACTGGCTGTCATCTCCAGTCCGTGCCAGCCATGGGGTGGGCACCAATGTTCTCAGAACCGCTCCCCAATCCTGCAGGGAGGCACCAGTATTCTCTGGGGAAAGGAAGGGGAATCCCTCTCTGTGGGATGGGCACTGTGCCTTGGCAGCTTCCTTTAATAGAACACCACACAGAGGCTAAGGACTGAATGGGCTGAGAAGCCCACGGGGCAAGAGCCCACAAAGCCCGACAGGGGCTTCCAGACTCTCCTGGGGCTGTCTCCTTCTGGTGGGGTGGGCGGCATCTCCTCACCGCTGCACGTGTTCCCTGCACCTGCACAAGTACTGCTGCGGGTGGGGTGCTGTGGGTCCCGTCAGGGAATCTGGGGCACCCAGGTCTCTGAGCTCCTAGAGGCTTCACCTGTTACACCCAGATGGACAGCACCTGGTACATGTGGAGCCTTCCACGAAACCTGAGGAATCAGTGATCTCAGGAGGATGAACAAATGAAGGTGGTGGGATTAGAGGTGCCAGGGAAGCCAGCAAGGAGCGGAAGGGGGAGGCTCACCTCGGGACGACTGTATCCGAAGCAGGATGTTGGTCAGTACCGCTTTCTTCTCCCTGACGGTTGACGTTAGGTACTCATGGTCCAGAAGCTCAAGAAACAGGCGAAGCTCAACTATTAACTCTTCCATTGCTGAAGACAGAGGAGGCAGGAGGAAGAGCGTTAACCCCTTGGTTTCCAAATGCTGAAGCCCACCCACACAGCATGTCATGTTTAGCTTGACCGTTGAACGCCTCACTCTAACCTGAGAAGCAAGGCAGCTGAAGCAGGGGCTAACAAAGATCTGCACATCCGTCTTCCCTGCCAGACTCACAGCCCCTTCGCTCTGGCTGGGGGCAGCAGAGCCCACCTGACAGAGGCCCCAGCTGGTGCCAGACAGGAACCTAAGGTCATCGCCCACTCTCAGTCTGGATGTGATGTTAAATTCCAGTGCGAAGGGGGAGATGGGAGTTTAAGATGACACCAGTTTGCCAGTAAGTCCTACGGCACCACTCAAAAACCCAATGCCCAGGCCCTGCCTCTGCAGGCTGGCTCTGTGGCCAAGGCTGTGAGCCCGCTTATGTACTAGGACAAGGATGCCTGGGGCCCGGGAGGACGGAGCAAAGAAATTCCACTTTCCGTGCAAATAAATGCGGGGGTAAGACAGCTGGTATCTTACCACAAGCCAAGCGCAGACACCAAGCCACACTCCTGCTTGGTGCCACGCTCTCCACACTGCACAGAGGCGCTCTTGCCGAGTGTCCTTGGTACACCCTTGATACCGAGCATGCAGTAAAAGGCATCACACATATGAAGTCTCCACCCTGGAGGCCGCCCCCTCCTGCCCCATGAGACCACACTTCCTTCGGTAGGGACCCACTAGAGCAGTGGTGGCGAGCCTATGGCATGCGTGCTGTTTTTCTCTTCAGACAAAAGATGTTAACGTAGGAATTAGTTTTTTCTAAACTAAAACCTCACTACTCGGGTTTAATTGCAATGTCAGGACTTTGCAATAATAAGTGGGTTTGGGCTGTCAGTTTGGGCACTCGGTCTTTAAAAGGTCCACCATCCCTGGTCTGAAGAAGCCCATTCCAGGGACTGACCTGTGACCCGCCTGCGCCCCCTGTCCCGTGGCATCGTTCTGGCTTGGAAGAACGAGCAGAGGCCAGCTGCGCCTCCTCTCCATCACCAGCCACTTTTATCCCTTCAAGGAAACAACGGGCAGCATTTGTGGCCAATGGCAAACTCTAAGCTTTCAAGAATTTGGAAACTGTGTATCCACCACAGGAAGAGGTCCTTACCCGCGGTACAGAGGGGACAGTGACAGGCAACAGTGACTGACCAGCATGATGCTTCCGGGTGGTACTAGGAGTCTATATTTGGGAAATCTGCGAAGGTCGGTGAAAATGACCTTCCCGAAATGCAACATAAACCAAGACATTCACTGAGCAGAGGCCAGCACCACCTCAGGTTCCACCTCAAGGCAAGCAGAAGAGCTGAATCGAGCTTCTGGTCAGGTCAGTCAGCACCCACCTGCTCCTGGAAGGGATGCGGGGAGCTTCCCCTCCACCCGCCTCCTTGCCGGCCGGGGCTTCCTCCCACACTTCCCATCATCTCAACAGTCTGGATGAAGAAGTGCACGTGAGGACCCAGAATCTACCAAGCCAGACACAAGGCACACCTGCAAGACTGCAGTGCAGTGCTGCACCTCTGTCTCATTTGCGTGAGTGCGAATTCTGTGTGTGTGTGCGTGTAAGTGTGGATAAGGAAATACAGATTTATATATATATATATATATATATATATAGCAATGGTGCTAAAAGCTAGAAGCAAAAGTGTTACAAATGTCCAGGAATCTAAGTGCGGCCCACAGGTCTATAGGCCTCCAGCCCCATCTGCCTCCGTCTCTCAAGCCCCACGTATCTTGCAGGCTCACACCAGTCCCACTGACAGCACTGATAGCTGAAGAGCTAGGAGAACGTCACGTGCTCCGCAATCCCCCTGCACCGTCCCCTGCAGAGCCCGAGCCCTGGTGTGACTAATTGGGGGGAACATTGACCTCTGCCTCAGGGTGGACCCAGGCAGCCAGCCCCCGCAGAGCCCTACCATGCCTCCCATGAGCGCTCACCCGCCTGGCAGCACACTCCCTGCCCTGTGCATCCCAGCTGGGACCGTGCAACTCCAGGCGGTGTCTCTGGTCCAGAAGCTCGGGAGCCACGGCCCTTAGGCACATGTATGCCAGGACAGAAGCCACTGTTAAGATTCAGATCTTGATCCCCCTCACCACCCCCCCAGCCTCATGTGCTCACAGGTGTGGCTTGGGGAGGTGACTGGGTCAGGGATGCGACACTCTTCAGTGGGTGTGACCTTATGTGATGCTGGGAGGTGAAGCCTCTCTGGGGGAGGTGGGCTGGTGGGAGCGTGGCCCACAAGGGTCGACCTCCTCCTCACCCCTGACCTCTCGCTGCGTCCTGCTTGCCCTGCCATGGACCATCTCTCCTTCGCGAGGCCCCTGTGCTGTGCTGGCTGTCTTGGAGCCAGCGAGTGTGGACTGAGGCCTCCGCAAACTGTGAGCCAAAGCAAACATCTCCTTGAATGTGTAGGCTCTGTGCTGCGTCGCGGCAACAGGAAAGCGACCAGCTCAGCTACTGACGGAAAGGATGAACTGCCAGAGTGTGCCCAGAGCTGGGACCCTCAGGAGCAAGAGGCACGGGGCGAGCAAGGGGGCAGGCATGCGCTGACAGACCCCCGAAGCCTTCCAGACATGGAACGCTGGCTGCACCCAAGTCCTTGTGGCCCTTGTGTCCCGTGGCCCTTGTGTCTCCATGGCCCTTGTGTCCCGTGGCTCTTGTGTCTCCGTGGCCCTTGTGTCCCATTGGCAATGCCTTACCACATTCTTTCTGCTAAGCTAATCTGGAAGGTTTCTGTTCACCTGAAATTATGATCAGAAATTCTCAAGACGTGGCTGAGAGCATATCTAAAAACCAACTTTGATCAAGAAGATTATGGGGCCAAAGAGGAAAGTGATCGATGACGTAGAGTGTGCCTAAGGAGAGTCACATGGGGAGAAGACACTCTCTCAGGCTTTCACAGAGAGCACATTGGCCAAGCAATGGCCGTGACTCATCCACATGGCTGCACTGACAAAGGTTCTACAATCTGAGGTACAGGATCTCAGGATAAATCCTGAGGGGATTTCACTGACCTTCTCAGACCCAAAAGCTACAACTCTTGTTGCACAGGTCCTGCTTTACCTTGGTCTTATCCATCCAGTAGAAAAGTATGAAGACGAAATACAGGAAGTAAAGCCATGCTGTTATGTTGAGCTGTGGGGGACTCAGGTCAATAATTTCTGACATTGCCAGTTAAACAGAAGACCCAATGCTATTATATGGTCTACTGGACTCTTTTAGAATATTTTGCTGAGTTTACACACCTATAATATTCAATAACGGAACTTAGAAAAAATAGGGTATACAGATGAATGTCCATTTTGTATCTGTGTATTCAAAGTGGTTGGGATAGATATATAGTTACATTCTCTTAATGAATAGAATGATTTGTTCTAATGGTGTTTGTAAATAGGATCTCAAGTCCGCATCTTGTACAGCAATTAACCACTAAGAAGAATATATGCCGTGTGTTATTTGTTGAAACTGTACTACCGATTTGATTTGAAACTGTCTCATTGCTGTTTGTCAATAAAATTTTGGAAAAAAAATTGAGAAATACATATACTTCATGCTATTATGATATGTTGTTTTAGTTGAAGTATATAAAATTATATAGCAGTTTTATCTGTTAAAAAAAAAAAAAAAAAACCAACTTTGTCTAAGAATTTTCACAGGCTGACGAAGCCAGGTTCACCCTCACCAGATCTTCTCCACACTCAGGCGTTTCACCGGGCCTTCTCTGGTTGCAGGTCCAGCCAGCTCGGCCTTGTCACGTCCCCCCACGGCCATACTCGGCCACCTCCCACCAGCCGCCCTGCTGATGTCAGCGTCTCGACCCGTGGCGCTGCTCACCACGCTCTCCCAGGCCCGGGGTCGTGTGGCGCTCTGGGGAGATGTTTTTCCTCACAGTCACTGGGCAGACGTCAGCTCTTCTCGTAGCCAGGAGCCCAGTGTACACGGAAGCGCATCACTGGATGGATGACTGTGACAGCGGGCTTCTGAGAGCGTGCAGCACAGGCCTCCCACGTGTGGCCTGCCGTAGGCAGGGCGCCTGGTGGCCACTGGCTCCACAGTGAGGACTCAGTGTGTGTGGGGTCATCCACTCGCCATGTCAGGGAGCACAGGAGGGCTCTGGGTTCTGTGGGGTGGCATCTGGCCTGCAGGCACACTGCGAGTGGAAGGGGCGCCACCCCCAGGCGGGGGCCAGGGCTGGGAAGGTGAGTCCAGCCCCTGCGGAGAGGCCCTGCCGTCATCTGCCAGAGCTCGCTCAGCCCAGGACTTCTGACCGACTGGCCTGCCTTCACGAAAGCCAGGCGCACGTGTGAGAAGGGACATGATCTCCCCACTTGCTGGGAGCTCTTGGGCAGGGTGAGCTCCCCATCCTGCAAGTGGAGAAACTGAGGCTACGGAAGTTACATCCTTACCTAAGGTCAAAGAGTGAACAATAAGAGCCTGAAGGGGGATCGGAACCGGGGCCACCAATCTTGCTTGTCACTGCTTTTGTACCATGCTGCTGACTCTGCATTCCACAGGGCATTACTCCCCAGACGACCTTCAAGCGACCTCTCACGGCGCAGAAAGAATGTCTACATAATCCATGCTCCAAAATCTTTCCTCAGGCTGTGTTTTACACCAGGGTTTTCCAGCTAGGTCCTCATATTATGAATAGTCTTCGAGTAGATACATTCACCCAAGCCCTGGATCTGCCGAGGCCGGCGGGGCGCAGGAGGGGGAGGGCTGGGTCAAGAGCGCCCTCTGCTCCTCTCTCCTCTGTGCACCCTGCGCCTGCCCCGTGCTCCACTCAGAGTGAAGCTGCTCACATTCCACAGCACAAAATTCGAAGGGCTCCCACATCCTTTGCCTCACTCAATCACCAGGATCTTAATTCCTCTGGAATATTGCTGATGAGAGGAACGAGATTTTAAAAAGCCAAGTAATTCCTCAGGCGGCAGGCTGAGGAGGGACAGCTGAGCCCTGAGC